TGTGACCTTGGGCTGGTGGCCTTAACCTCTCTGTGCCTCCATGTTCTCATCTATAAACTAGAGATAATAACCATCTCTGAAGGTGGTTGTGACAATGAAATGAACTACTATTCTACGTAAGAAACCCAGAACAGAGCCTGGAGTAGCCAACATCCAAACTCAGCTTTTCATTGGTCCTTGGAACATGTATAAAAATTGATTGCGGGGGTGTCTGGGTGCCTCAGGTGGTTAAGCATCTGCCTTTGGCCCAGGTCAGGTCCTGGGATTGAGCCCCACGTCAGGTTCTCTGCTCAGCACCAGTGTCTGCTTCTCCCTCTCCCTCTTTGCCCATTCCCTGCTTGTGCGTGCTCTCTCTCTTTCTCTCTCTCAAATAAATAAGATCTTAAAAAAAATAAGAGGAAATGCAATTGAAATGACTAGAGAGCAGTGAAAAAGACTGGCCCCATCAGACATCAGGAGTTGTAACTTTTACCAAGTTGAGTATGGCAGCATCATTATGCTGGTCTAGCCAGTAAGCATGTGACTCGTGACCTTGGGGTTGTAGGTTCAAGCCCCATGACGGTTTTAGAGATTACTTACAAAAAGAAAGTCTTGGGGCACCTGAGTGGCTCAGTCATTAAGTGTCTGCCTTTGGCTCAGGTCATGATCCCAGGGTTCTGGGATCAAGCCCTATGTTGGGGTCCCTGCTGGGCTTCCTGCTTCTCCCTCTCCCACTCCCCCTGCTTGTGTTCCTTCTCTCTCACTGTCTCTCTCACTCCGTCAAATAAATAAATATTTTTAAAAAATAATAAAATCTTTTAAAAAAAAGTACATTTTCATTTATGCGTTTGTTTTTCTCCTTTACTAGACTGATTTTCTGGAAGGCAGGAACTGTGTGTCATTTACTCTGGTACCCACCAACCTGTCTTGCACTCAACAGTTGCTCACACATTGAATGACTCCTTTCTCTCCTCCTCCAGAGAAATTGTATTTACTGAATAAATTAACTTTTCCTTTATTTTCAAACAGATGATTTGAACAGCTTGTATTTTTCCTTTCTTGTCCTAATATTAGCTTCATTTTTATTATACAAATACTTGCTCAGCATAAAAAATTTCAAGTAGAATATAGAACGTATAGAAATAGGAGAAAAAAGCAAAAAACTACCTGAGATCCCACTGCCATTAGAAATTCGGTGATTTTCCAGGGCGCCTGGGTGGCGCAGTTGGTTAAGCATCTGACTTTTTGATTTCAGCCCAGGTCATGATCCCAGGACCCTGGGATGGAGCCCTGTGTCCGGCTCCATACTCTGCAGAGAATCTGCTTCAGGATTCTCTTTCTCCCTCTGCTCCTCCCCCTACTCATCTCTCTTTCTCAAATAAATCTTTTTTTTTTTTTTTAAGATTTTATTTATTTATTTGACAGGCAGAGATCACAAGTAGGCAGAGAGGCAGGCAGAGAGAGGGGGAAGTAGGATCCCTGCTAAGCAGAGAGCCCGATGCGGGGCTCGATCCCAGGACCCCAGGATCGTGACCTGAGTCGAAGGCAGAGACTTAACCCACTGAGCCACCCAGGCACCCCTCAAATAAATATATCTTAAAGAAAAAAGAAATTTGGTGTTTTCCTATCAATGCATTTATGTTTATAGTTATATGTTAAAAAAATAGGATTGTCGTAAATTTTTTAAAAGGATGAAGCACACTTTATTTTTATTTAATGTTTTTATTTTTTCTAATTTTTAATTTAAGTTCTAGTTAGTTAACATACAGTGTAATATTAGTTAAGATATTTATTTATTGGGGCACCTGGGTGGCTCAGTGGGTTAAAGCCTCTGCCTTCAGCTCAGGTCATGATCCCGGGGTCCTGGGATCGAGCCCCACATCGGGCTCTCTGCTCAGCGGGGAGCCTGCTTCCCCCTCTCTCGCTGCCTGCCTCTCTGCCTACTGTGATCTCTGTCTGTCAAATAAATAAATAAAATCTTAAAAAAAAAAAAGGGGGGGGGCACCTGGGTGGCTCAGTGGGTTAAAGTCTCTGCCTTTTGCTCAGGCCATGATCCCAGGGTCCTGGGATGGAGTCTGGCATTGGGCTCTCTGCTCAGCGGGGAGCCTGCTTCTCCCCCCCTCCCCCCGCCTCCCTCTCTGCCTACTGTGATCTCTGTCAAATAAAAAAAAATAAATAAAAAATAAAAATACATTGAGTTCTTAAAACATACTGAACAATGTCCAGGTAACCTGATTCCTCTCCAAGGTCATCACTAATAACATGGGCTGTATACCCTTCTATAGCTTTGTCTATCCTCAGTTAATCAAATGCAGACATGCACATGCGGACATACATGGGGTTTTACAGAAACAAGATCATGGAATATACATTTCTCTGCTTTTCTTATCTAATGACAGCACAGAAGTCCCTCTTGGTATGGATTAACTGATTTTCAAGTCTGCCTAATAATCCTGGTTAGGGATCCAGTTTGCTGAACACTTCACTTATTTATTTTTTTTTTTTTAAGATTTTATTTATTTATTTGACAGATCACAAGTAGATGGAGAGGCAGGCAGAGAGAGAGAGAGAGAGAGGGAAGCAGGCTCCTTGCTGAGCAGACAGCCCGATGCGGGACTCGATCCCAGGACCCTGGGATCATGACCTGAGCCGAAGGCAGCAGCTTAACCCACTGAGCCACCCAGGCGCCCTTATTTTATTTTTTTATATTTATTTATTTATTTGATAGAGACACAGTGAGAGAGGGAACGCAAGCAGGGGGGAGTGGGAGAGGGAGAAGCAGGCTTCCCGCTGAGCAGGGAGCCCAGTGTGGGGCTGGATCCCAGGACCCTGAGATCATGACCTGAATCAAAGGCAGACGCTTAACGACTGAGCCACCCAGGTGCCCCTAACCCTTCACTTATTAAAGGAAACTTACTTTGTTTCAAGATTTTCACTACTACAGAGAGTGCTACAGTAAAGGCAGTAGAAGACCATGAACACATTACATTATGTAATCACATGCCTTGTGTTGGGGCAGATTCCCAGAAGGGGGGCTAATATATTGAAAGGGCTTATTTTTAATTTTTCTTGAAAGGGATAGTTTTAATAGATGACAGAATGCTTTCCAAAAAAATTCTCAGTAGTGTTAGCACATTTGTTGTTTGCTATTTTGATGGTTATATAAAGAGATTCCTCATTATCACCTTAATTTGCATTTCCCTGCAGAGGGCGGGGGCTGGTGTGGTTTCATGTTTTTTTTGCTATTTGGATTTGCTCTTCTGAGACTAGCCTATTCAGTCTGGGCTCATTTTCCATTGTTTTTGTCTTTTTTTCTAACTAGTTTTTAAGACTTCTTTGCATATTAGTTGTTTGGTTGTTTTGTTTTTTTTTTTTTTAAGATTTTTATTTGTTTGACAGGCAGAGAGGCAGGCAGAGAGAGAGGTGGAAGCAGGCTCCCCGCTGAGCAGAGAGCCGGATGCGGGACTCGATTCCAGAACCATTCCAAGACGCTGGGATCATAACCTGAGCAGAAGGCAGAGGCTTTAGCCCACTGAGACACCCAGGCGCCCGCATATTAGCTCTTTATCACGTGTGGCAAGTATAGTTTCCTAATGTGTTACTGTCTGTTGACTTTTATCATACAGTTTTTTATTTATTTATTTTTTCTTTTTTAAAGATTTTATTTGACAGAGAGATCATAAGTAGGCAGAGAGGCACACAGAGAGGGGAAAGCAGGCTCCCCGCTGAGCAAAGAGCCCGATGCGGGGCTCGATCCCAGGACTCCGAGACCATGACCCGAACCAAAATGACCCGAACCGAAGGCAGAGGCTCAACCCACTGAGCCACCCAGGGGCCCCTATCATACAGTTTTTTAAAAAAATATTTATGTGAGATCGAGCGAGCGAGCATGAGGAGGGGGAGGGTCGGAGGGAGAAGCGACTCCCTGCTAAGCAGGGAGCCCAAAGCGGGCCTCGATCCAGATCCCGGGACTCCAGGATCAGGACCCGACTGAAAGCAGTCGCTTAACCAACTGAGCCACCCAGGCCCCCTTATCATACAGTTTTAATTTCTTTGGTGATCAAGTGTATCTTTTATTACTCTGAGTTTCTTGTTTCCCTAAGTCTCTACCTCTAGATGACCCTGACAGTCGCCTACATAGCATTCTAGGTCTGTTTTATTGTTTAATTCAGGACCCTATACCATTTGTTAGCTCAATTTCTTCTTTACCGAATCTACTTACATATGGGGAATCTATTTCCAGTCTCATTTCCCACAACAAAATCACTTTGTGTCCTTATCATGCCTTGTATGTTCCTATTGTCTGAAAAGCAAGTTCCTCTTAAACCTCGTTTACAAGTTTCCCTACTATTTTCAAAATTATGATTTTAAGATGATGTAATCAACCCCCAACCAGTTGATTTTAATGGAAATTTAATGTATTTGTAAATTAATGTTGGAACTGACTTTATATTGTTTTCTGCCTAAGATTACGTATTCTTCTCAGGCTCAGATATTGCTTTGATTCTTCACAAAGACTGTTTTACACCTTTTACTTTTTCTTCCTTTTTTTTTTTTTTTTTTAAAGAAAACAGGAAGTCCCTTTTTACCTGCGGCGCGTCAACGGATCCGGTTTATGGACGCGCGCCGGCCCCTCCCCCGTCCCTCGGTTCCGGGTTACCATGGGAATCGAGAATTGACGTCACTTAGGGCTTCCGCGCCATACCCCGCGGTCAACCATGAAACGAAGGGCGGAGAGGAAGCTTTGACCCGTCTACGCATGCGCGCCCTACTCCACTCCTTCCCGGCGGCAAATCTCGTTCGGCCTGGGTACCGCCGCGACCTCTCGCTAAATCCCAGCAAAACTGCTCCCCGTGGGAGGGGAGTAGAGAAAAAAATCGACCAAGCGACAGCCAATCCCATGACACTACGACGCAACCGCGAATGATGGACTCAACCAGCGTTAGCCAATGAGAAAGCCCGTTGCTCCCACGTCACAGTTTGCCCCACCCTATCCCCCTCCTTTCTGGACTCCGAGCTCAGTCCGCGCAGTAACAAATGAAGTGCGCGCAGCGCCACCTCCCAGCTCGCCAGGCTCGGCCGCCATTTCTTCGCCGGGCCTAACGGTCCGGCCAATCCCAGCGTACATCGAGGAGGGCTAAGGCTCCACCAATCGCAGGCCGCCAATTCCGACCCCCTTGCCTCGGCTCGGCCCAATCCAGGCCTCGGACCTGTCGCCCCCGGCCCGCCCCCGCGGCGCCCTCTCTCCTCCCTCTTTGTGCGTCTCGCGCCGCCGCCGCCCGCCGCGTGAGAGAACGGGCTCGGCGCGCTCCGCGGCAGCGCAGTCGGGTCCCCTCCCCCCGGAAGGTTCGCGAAGAAGAAGCCGCCGCCGCCTAAAAGGAGCCGCCGGTGCCGGTCCCCGGGGGCGCCATGGCGACCGGAGCGAACGCCACGCCGCTGGGTAAGCTGGGCCCCCCCGGCCTCCCCCCCCTTTCCGGGCCCAAAGGGGGCTTCGAGCCGGGGCCACCGCCTGCTCCCGGGCCTGGGGCGGGGCTGCTGGTGCCCGGGCCACCGCCACCCCCGCCCGTGGGCTCGGTGGGGGCCTTGACCGCGGCCTTCCCCTTCGCGGCGCTGCCGCCGCCGCCACCGCCGCCGCCCCCGCCTCCCCAGCAGCCGCCGCCGCCGCCGCCCTCCCCGGGCTCCTCGTACCCGCCGCCGCAGCCTCCCCCTCCGCCGCCGCTCTACCAGCGCGTGTCGCCGCCGCAGCCGCCGCCACCCCAGCCGCCCCGTCAGGACCAGCAGCCGGGCCCGGCCGGCGGCGGAGGAGGTGAGTCGGGCCGAGAGAGCGCGAGAGGCGTCGCGCGGACGGGCCCGGCCGCCTGAGGGGTGCGCGGCGGCGGCGACGGCGGCTGCACGCGGCAGGGGCGCGCGCGCGCACGGGGAGGCCCCGGGCGGAGGCGCCACGGGGCGCGCGGCCCGGTTCTCGGGCCCCGAGTGCGCACGCGCGCCGGAATGGGGGGGGGGTGGGTAGAGAGCGGAGGCGCAGGCGCAGTGTGGCGGCCGCGCTTTGTGGCCCGACTCTAATTTGGCGGGGGTCTGTGTGGCTCTCTGGACCTTGGTATCGGAGAGGGGTGTCGCGTAGGTTGACTCGGTGGACGGGTGGTGGGTGTACGTGTCAGGAGGGCGTGAAGGGGTCTACTGATGACGTGGAGCACTTCCTTCCTGTTTCTAGATAAGTTCAAAAGGCAGAAAAGTAGCAACTGTAGCTTTTTTCCCCCCTATAGTAAGGCGAGGTTTTCACTACGGTGAAGGAAAGAGATGATAAATTCTCAGGTCGTGGTTGGGTCCGATGCACTTCTGGAGGAAGGAATTTTTTTCCTTATCTCCATTTATCTTAAAGAAGTCTGATAAGCCTTCTCTTGTTGGGGCTTTGGGGGGGGCGGTTTAGAACTGACTTGGGTACCAGAATGTGTAGGGAGTTTATGCCTCTGATTCGGAGGAGACTTTGGCTGCTATTGTCTACATTTCTTTGTCGGATTTTTGATATATTCCCTAGGAGTTCAGATGTTAATTGTCTAGTTGGCCAGGAAAATTGAATCCTTATCTTGGCTAAATTTCTGAAGGAAAAAAGTGATCTTGTTGAAGAACTGGGCTTTTTCACTTAGTAAATCATAGGTTTGCTTGTGTTCTGGCCCATTTGGAATGGTGACTGGTGGGGAGCGGAGGTGAGAAGAAACAGCAATTTCCCGGGTCTTGCTTTACCAAGGTCTGATAATTCCATATACCTTGTCTCCCCTGGGGCTTTTCACACAGTCATGGTTAATGTCATGTATCTGAAACTTTAGGCATGAAGATGTATTCGCTTGTTCACATACTCTGCCGTTTTCTTGGATATGTGTCATAAATGTGAAATGTTACCTTTTCGGATCCAGAACCAGGTAGCCTTGGGGTGGCCGTTTGTCTCTGACTTCTCCGGTTTGTGTTCATTTTTTGCCATTTACATTTTAGGTCAAGTTCTCATTTTCCCAGTCTGCGGAGGTTATGTCTAGTACCATAAGCATCCTCAACTGCCTGTTGGTAGTTAATTTGCTGGTTTATATTTGGATTTGATGGACTGTATCTGCCTTTAGACTTCCCAAGTAAGAAGCGAAAGAGGAGCCGCTGGAACCAAGATACCATGGAACAGAAGACAGTGATTCCAGGAATGCCGACAGTCATCCCGCCTGGACTTACTCGGGAGCAAGAAAGAGCTTATATAGGTAAATACACGTTCTGCATCCAAATACGTTTTCAGATGGTTAACGGTTTCTTCTGAGCAACGTGTAATGTGTCTTAAGTTTGAGACCTTAAAGTCTTGTTCTTTTAAGATGAGGTATGGTCAGGTGTGATTTCACGACTGTAACATAACCCATGAGTTTTTACTCTCTTAAGTCCTGCATCTCAAGCTCCTCGCTCTCGTCTGTTCCGTAATAGCAGTGTCCCCCGTGAGTGCCAGGAAGGTAGAGGGACCCGCTTAGCGAGGGCAGCCCCCAGTCTAGCACCCCACCCCATCCGCCCTTTTCAGCTGCTGCTCATTGCCAGTTGGTGAGGTGAGTGTCTTCTGCCTCTCTGGACACGGCCCCAGTGGAGAACACTGCAGGTATTATAATTAAGTACCTTTTTCACAGCATGGCCTTTCACCATTTTACATTCCTCCCTCCCCTTCAAATGTGGTCTTTTACTTTTTATAGGTACTTTCTGAAAAGAAAAACTCAGTTTAATCAAAGAGTGGTCCTGAAAGTGTTGAACAGTGCACCCCTTTTTACCATTTTGTTGAATTTAACCTTTCCTTCAGCATCTTTTCTGGTTTGGTCTTTGGAGAGCTGTCTTAAAACGAGGGCTCTTTTACTATTTATTGTCAAAGAACTCCGCTGGGAAAGGGGTACTGTTTGGATATGGAATGAGTGGTAGGATAAAGGATCTTAACTGTTGGGATATTTCAAGAATTAACGATAATTGTCCACAGTGTAAATGAAGTTAACCTCAAAATTACCTTTTTTTTTTTTTAAATACAAGGTTTTTAATGCAAGTTTCACCTTTATTCATGTATCTGCAGCTGTCTCCAAAAAGTTCACTTGATAAACATTTCCTCCTAACTAAATAAACAACCCCTTTGGAGTAAATTAGGGCAAAGGTCGCCTAGGTCTCTGAGGCTGTATCCTTCACAGATAAAAAGCTTCAAGGCTGGCATGTGTTATTCTTGAGGATCGTATTGCGGAGATTTTTTGAGGTGTTGGGATGGTTTATGTTGTTTTCATAGTACTAATATTTCTTCTTTCCCCGCTGTTCCAATTTACTTCCACCCACCCCCTTGTCTCATTAGATTGGCCTGGGTCTTTACAACCTTGTGGAAATGTCCTTAGTGGAATGACATTCCAAGAACACAAGCAGACTTAGGGGGCAAAACAGACTTACTTTAGGTCTCCAGTCCTCTTCCTGTGCAGGGAGTTAATGTACTGAGCCCTGAGGGTATCTCTAGCTATAAGCCAAAGTGGAAAGAGCCAAAGGCCGGTGTAGATCTCAGATCCAAGAACGAACGATCCCTTTGATTTAAGTACCAGCTATTTTCTCGGATCAGACCCCACACCCCTACAGTTCATGCCTGCCACCATGAAGCTGACTTCCACCTTGAGTTCTTGACCTTAGTACTTACTGCCAAGTCAGAAATTTTCTGGCATAGAAGAGGTTAGTGAGCCATGTATCTTAATTCTTCTGTCTCTCACGGTACACACTGCTTTGTGCAATACCCCCAGTATCTTCTCTTGATGTGAATGTGGGTTTCCAGTTCTTTGGAGTAGAATGGTGTGTGGTATAACCCTGTGGGATGTATTTAAAATTAGAAGGCTGTCTGGGGTTAGACTTGAGCAGTCATCCTATTTTGGAGCCAGCTCAGCTTTAACCCAAGCTTTAGCCTCAGCTTTAACTCTAGCCCTCACTAGAGGTGCCTGCTCACAACTCTCAGATGGCGCAAAGGTAAGAAAACAGGTGGTTCTTCAGCGCGCTGAAGGCCGTGATCTGGCTGTACAGTTGCCACTATCTTAAGTCACCGGGGTAGCATTTCCCTGGAGTCACTGAACTTTGGTGAAACCCTCTCTCTCTCTCACATACAGCCTCCTTTTGTCAAGGTCCGAGGGCCACACACACTGCCCTTGACCCACACTTTCTATTTTCTACATCCCTTACTTTTACTCCCCTCGTGAGGAGCAAGTCTGAGAACAGACTTCTTAACATCTCACGGTTACTGGTTTATTAAGGTATATGGATTGTCACCTCAAACTGGAATAAAAGCAACAGGTATTGGGAGATCCTTGATAATATGGATCTGGTTGTACAGAAAGAGTATGTATAACGGGCTTTTGAAGAGGTGTCGAACTGGTTATTAAATGTCTTATGTGTTTAAGGAATTTTGAACTTGGTATCAATGAAAATGATCTTTGCTCAGCTGCTATTTTTCCTTGTCCCATGTTAATTGGGTTTCATTTTGGGCTGTGCCTAATATTTAATGAAGAAAAATAAACTCTCAAGAGTCTTGCCCTCAAAGTAACTTGGTTGGGAACAGGGTGTTGGTGATGATATACATGGTCTGTTCTGGGTGCCAATTGTCTAGCAAGCCTTGGCGGGGCGGGAGAGGTGAGACTCCTGGTAACTGCTTTGATGTTAGCCTTAGGGGACAGTCTATACCGCTAACCCCTCTTCCAGCAAACTGTTTGCTTCCTTAAGTGATAACCATTTTGAAGTGAAAAATCCCAGTAGATGTAAGTGGACTCCTGCCGGTAGGTGGCTGGGGGTTGCCTCAATGTGTTCACTGATCAGTCGTCCCTTTCAAAGTCTCCGAGTTCTTCATGCTTGTTGTTGAGATTTGAGATGTTTTTTGGTAACATTGTCTTTTTTCCATCCTTTTTTTTTCTTTCCTAACCTGGTTTCTTCCAGTGCAACTGCAGATAGAAGACCTGACTCGTAAACTGCGCACAGGAGACCTGGGCATCCCCCCTAACCCTGAGGACAGGTTGGGAAACAGTTTTAACCAGCTGACAGTAACGCTTTTACCTTTTTCTCAATACGTTTTACTGGTGGCAACATATTGTGTCAGTTCAATGAAATCCTAGTGAGTCGACTGGTAATACTCTGACCATTCTGGGGCCTAGGGTTTGATTAGCAATCTGTATGGTCAGTGGTCAGTTAGAGAATTGGAGTGGAACTTAATTACTAGCAGAATAAAAAGTTACGGGAATATGGACACCTGGTTTCCAGTTGGTAAGCATATGCAGATTTTCACCTGACTTACCCGCCCGTAGGGACAGTGAGGTGGCCCGTTAACCAGCCTTTTCAGTAACTGCTTGGTTGAAAGCCGAGAGGGGGTAGAGCTTTTCTCACAGGTACACGGGTGCAGGGATTAAGAATACTTTTTGAGCATCACTGAGTTTGAGCAGACCAGAAGCTCCGTCTGGGTAGCTCTTTGCTGCAGTCTCCTGCTCCTGGTTTTGAGATGGTTTTAAAGTAGATGAGATTTCTAACCAGCTTCCTTCACTGCCAGTGAATTTTCCTGCCTCGGCCATTGCCTGGGGGTATTGGGAGGGGCCAGAATGTTCTCGCCTGTTTTGGGAAGGCTAGCAACCAACCCAAATCACCTTTTTTTTTTTTTTTTTTTTTTTTTTAAAAGAGTGTGGTCTTCAAACAACTATGGTCACATCCTTTCAGTTTATAATTTCTCTCACCTTTGAAAAGGAAAAAAATCTGAGGAAAATGAACTTTTTAACCAGGAATTAGCTGGTTGAACTTTGAACAGCTAAAATCTGGTCCATTTAATGAGGGCAGTATGCCTCCCTCTCTGTGAAATTGCTTTTAATGCATGCAGCATAATTGAAAACATTTTCACTTTAAAAAGTAGTGTTTTTAGCTTTTATTACCCAGTTAATGGCTTGTTAAATCAGGAAGATGATGTAATGGTTTTAGAAGCCACACACTTATGCATCTTTCTGCTGCCCTTTGCAGGGAACAAATTAACTTAATCTCTCCGTATGGGCTCTTTAATTTTACTTAATGAAATTTAGTAATTTTTTTACCTGTAGATTTCGGTTGGAGGGATGTGTTGTGTTTTATAAATACTTTTTTTTTTTTTTTTTTTTAAATTTTTTTTCCCCAAAGATTTGCATTGTAGGTTGTAGACCACAACTGTATAGTGCTTTTTTGGCCTTTTTCCCTTTAATAATCATGTTTAACAGGTTACCAGGCAATTCTCAAAAGGTTGAATTTTTAACAAACCTTTGCTTCCTGGAGAAACAGGATTAGAGTTTAGTTGATATATATGATTTGAAGTGAAGAAGTTGGGCCAGTCTAACCTCTAGAATATTAGCTTTTGCCTTTTCACATCAACAATTTGGGAAGAGATTAAACTGTTTTGTGAGGCTTTTAAATGACCAATTTGGTACTGGTAAACCTTGTTTTGTTGATTAGCCAGAAATGCTTAATTCTAGACAGCTACGGGGTGGGAATTAGAAATGTCAGTCATGTCAGAAATAAAACTAGGGGTGGGAATTAGAAATGTCAATCATGTTAGAAATAAAACCAGAGCAGTTTTTTTTCCTCCCTGTATTAAGTTTGAAAGAGGGCCTAATGCCTGATTGGTTTTGCTTTTGAGCCCAGGTTGGAGGGAACTGCATGAGTTTTGTACCTTTACTAAGGTTATTTCCTAAGAAGGTGTATTCTCAATATTAAGCCACTATGCTATTTTGATGTTGCTTAAGTTGCACAGTTAAAAATGTTATGAAAATACCTTGTAGACTTAAATGTTTAAGATGATAGTCTAATGATCTAATGAGCTGGGGTACGTTTGTTTTTGTTCACTATTATTGGATTGTGTTAACAGTTTATATAAATGCTAGAAACGGAGGTGTCATTTAGCCGTCATTAGCCATGAACAAACCTGACCTTTTATTCCATCGTGTGTGTAACGTGGTATGACATGGTTCCCTTTAGGCTGAAGACAGTGGGAGCAGCCGAGTTCAGTCCTTGCTCTCCAACTAGGCAAGGTTCTCTCAACTAAACCAAGGGTATAGGAGTCTTGACTACTTTCAGGATGTTTTTTTTAATAACCTGATCCACATGGTCTCTTCCCTTCTTGCAGCTGCTACTAAATTTTCATTCAGAATATCAAGCTATGGTCCTTTTTGTAATCTCAACTCAGAATTCTAGGAGCGTAACTTCTCTTTTTTTATTACCGCAAAATCCAGCTGTGGTAAACTGACCATTTTATCATTACTATTTTTTACTTGTAGCAACAGCATTTTACTCCTTAAAAAAATGAGAGAGAGAAAATCTGCTTTCTGGACTTGTAAACATTGGTGGAGAATCCTAGGTTTTCCCCTTGCCGTTTGCAGGTCCAGACCCTAGACAAGTACTTGACCAAATCTGCATTTGCAGCCTCTAGCAGAAGCTGCTTTAGCACGTTAACGTTTTTCTCTACCCAGACTCCCCAACCTCGAAAGAAAACAGGTTGACTCCTGGGCCTTGGACACAGCCAGCCAGGCCATTGAAGGAAAAGCAGAGACGAAGCCTTGAACCATCTCTCTCCATTGTGGGGCCAAGTAGCTGCAGCAGCCTTGAGTCCCAGTGGCATTGGGTTAAAGAGCTCATCCTTACTATGTGGCAGGGGTGCAGACACTCTTCCTGATAGGGCACGAGCTCTGCAAGAGTTCACATTTTACCTAAACTTGGGGTTTCTGTGGTTCATGAAATTGTATTACTGTATAGTTTTTTTAAAATGAAAAATTCATATTTGGCAAGAAGACTCCAGAGGATGATACTGTCCTTGCCATCTACAGTCCAGATATTTTCCCCCAGAGGGGCAGACTTTTTTCTTCTCAACACTTAGAAGCAAGACCTTTTTTTTTTCCTTTCTCACACACACCCCAGTCCCCCAAATGCTAAGCCAGCTTTCATCTCCCCATTCCACACGATCTTGAGTAGCACACGTTATGGTCGGTTCCTCCGAAGAGTGTTGTGTTAGGGTCTGAGAGGCAGAGGGGCTGGGGAAGACTAATTTTAGCCCATGTGGGATGAGAAAAGTGAAGGCAGAGCAGTAACGGTGGTCTGTTTCCCACAGGTCCCCTTCCCCTGAGCCCATCTACAATAGTGAGGGGAAGCGGCTTAACACCCGCGAGTTCCGCACCCGCAAAAAGCTTGAAGAGGAGCGACACAACCTCATCACTGAGATGGTTGCCCTCAACCCTGATTTCAAGCCACCTGCAGATTACAAGTAAGCAGAGGGGCTGGGTTGTCCAGGCCAAGGATTGGTACAGGTCACATGTCATCTGTACAAGTAGAACTGTTTTGGTAGTAATGTCGCACCTCTTAACCTCAAATCATGTATGGTTAATACGTGGTAGCGAGGTTGGTTCTGGAAGAGCTCTGGGTTATTTGTGTCCTCTCTGAAAAATATGCAGAGTCTATGAGTCTTGTCTTTTTTAGACCTCCAGCAACACGAGTGAGCGATAAAGTAATGATTCCACAAGATGAATATCCAGAAATCAACTTTGTGGGGCTGCTGATTGGGCCCAGGTGAGTAACTGCTACCCTATGGGATACTGATTTCTAAGAAACTATGAGAGGTATCAGTCTTAGGCCCAGCTGGGTGCCATTGATGGCTTATCTTCCTGTTTTTGGTGGGTGTTCACACTTTCCTCTGAGAAAGTCTCTTTGACCCCGTTTTACTGCAGAGAGCTCAAATCTTGAGGATTGGTGTGGCTGCCCTTAGAGATCACGGAGCTCTTGGTGGGAAACCCCAACTCTCTGCACTCACGGTTTCCTGCTAGTGTGATCAGCCTGTTCTGTCCCCTCTGGCATGTGAACTTGCTTGTCAAGTCTGTCAACTCATTTTTTTCTGCCCCTGATAGAGGGAATACCTTGAAAAACATAGAGAAGGAGTGTAATGCCAAGATCATGATCCGAGGGAAAGGGTCTGTCAAAGAAGGGAAAGTTGGCCGAAAGGATGGCCAGATGCTGCCTGGAGAAGATGAGCCGCTTCATGCCCTAGTTACTGCCAACACCATGGAGAATGTGAAGAAAGCTGTGGAGCAGGTGAGGCAGCCAGAGAGGGAGCCTCTTGCTAGGAACCTAGCGGTGGTCCCAGCGCTTTACGTAACTGCCCATTGCATCTCCACTAGATAAGAAACATCCTGAAGCAGGGTATTGAGACCCCTGAGGACCAGAATGATCTACGGAAGATGCAGCTTCGGGAGTTGGCTCGCTTGAATGGGACCCTTCGGGAAGATGATAACAGGTGTGTGATTGGTTTGGAGTAGACAGAGTGAAAACCTGAAGAACTTGTGGAAGGAGGAAGCTTGGCCATAGCCCTTGAGGTGACTTTTTTACCCCCTCTTCTGTGACAGAATCTTAAGACCCTGGCAGAGCTCAGAGACACGCAGCATTACCAACACCACAGTGTGTACCAAGTGTGGAGGGGCTGGACACATTGCTTCGGATTGCAAATTCCAAAGGTGAGGGCCTGGGCTTGTGGCTTCTTTGTAGCCTGTGGTGCTCAAGACATTTCTTGAGCGTGTCAGTTAGTTGCTGTTAACTTTTGGACCCGAGAGCAGCTTGCTTTCTGTGAGTGTGGTCTGTAATAGTGTGATGTTAAAGCCGAGGGTGACTAGAAGCAGCTTGTGCGTATTTTGTGGCTCATGTTGAGTTCAGGAAAACTAGAAATTTCCATCCTGAGTATAAATGTGTCCATTGGGGCTCATATTAACTATCCTTTGCTGCTTAGGATTGGTTTCAGAAGCCATCTGGATTTTGGACCATTTTTGAACCAGCCCTTGATAGCAACATATTTTTTTTGCTTTTTTCTCTCTTGGGAAACCTGGCAGGTGCTCTAGTCTTGCACAGACTTTTCTGCCCTCAAACTGGGAATGTAGGGTTTGATGAAAGTTTCCTCTTTGGAAGAGCCTGTGCTTCCCTGGCTCGTGTGGCTGGCAGGGTGCTCTCAGTCTTCTCTGTTGTGACGGAAATCCACGTGGTCTCCCACATGCAGAGCTGGGCGTGGAACTGAGGACCTACTATATTGAGGAACAGTTAAAAAGGATGATTGAATTTCTCAAAACTCCTTGTCAGTTCTTCAGGATAGAATTTTCCTTCTTAATAATGAGTGTTTTTTTCTCCCTCCTCTCTCTCTTGCGTCCCTTATCCCCCTTCAGGCCTGGTGACCCCCAGTCAGCTCAGGATAAAGCACGGATGGATAAAGAATATCTGTCCCTCATGGCCGAACTGGGCGAAGCGCCCGTGCCCGCATCTGTGGGCTCCTCCTCTGGGCCTGCCACCACGCCCCTGGCCAGTGCACCTCGGCCTGCTGCTCCTGCCAACAACCCACCGCCTCCGGTGAGTTTTGGGGCTGGTTCTTAGGGTCTGGCCCCCCCATTCTCTTCCGCAGAGATTGGGGGCTCTGGCCAGGTGCTTTGGGTAGAGCACACTGACAGACTTGGCTGGCAACATTGTTCTTCCGGGTGTCAGGGATCTTTCACTTTAGGAAGATCCTGTCCTTGCGTGTTTCCTGGTCCTCTTGGCACAGCCGGAAGGGCAGTGTTGCCACCAGGGGGAGCAGGCCGGGACGTCGGCGGGAAATGCTCTCACATAGTCTCTCATGTCCACCACCCAGAGCCGCCCACCCTGGATGAATTCCGGTCCTTCAGAGAGTCGGCCCTACCATGGCATGCACGGAGGTGGTCCTGGTGGGCCTGGAGGTGGCCCCCACAGCTTCCCACACCCGTTACCCAGCCTGACAGGTGGGCACGGTGGACATCCCATGCAGCACAACCCTAACGGACCCCCACCCCCTTGGATGCAGCCGCCTCCGCCACCGATGAACCAGGGCCCCCACCCACCTGGGCATCATGGCCCTCCTCCAATGGGTAAGTAAGTGTCAGACCAGAAACCTTGGGGCTTTGGGATAAGCAAGGGTGATACCTGGTTGCTGTGAACCGGAAGCAGCTCCCACAGTGGCTGGATATTGCACCAGGTCTCTTGCCAAGGCTGGGGCTCCAGAAGGAGCAAGACTTTATTGTGATTTAGGAAGTGGTTTCTGTGTGGGGTAGACACGGACCTCCCTCTTAAAGGCAGGGTTCCAGAACCGTTCATACTAGGGTATTGTATGGTTTCAAGCTGTGTGATCCGAATCAGCTGTCGGTGGGGGCACCTTCCCGGCCAGTTCAAATGTCCTGCTAAGTCCCTGCTCTTTCCTTCCATCAAGATCAGTACCTGGGAAGTACGCCTGTGGGCTCTGGGGTCTATCGCCTGCATCAAGGAAAAGGTAATGCGGCCCGTCACCTGCTCACTCTGGGCTCTGCACTGCGCCCGGGAGTGGGGTCTCTCTGCCTGGGGTCCCTCTCCCCTGCCTCTTCCCCCTCAGGCCTCAACCTTGCCTCTGCCCCCTGCAGGTATGATGCCGCCTCCGCCTATGGGCATGATGCCGCCGCCGCCGCCGCCTCCCAGTGGGCAGCCCCCGCCCCCTCCCTCTGGTCCTCTTCCCCCATGGCAGCAGCAGCAGCAGCAGCCTCCGCCGCCCCCTCCGCCCAGCAGCAGTATGGCTTCCAGTACCCCCTTGCCATGGCAGCAAAGTGAGTGCACTATTTTGGGCCTGTGGGGGTGGGCGGGATGGGGAGGTGGGGCTGAGAGGAGCAGGAGCGAGCACCTCGCGGGCGCCGGGAGGCAGGCAGACACCCAGGGAGGAGCGCTGCTCTCTGCCCGGGGTGTAAACGGAAAGGGCCTTGTGGCCCCTGGGGGTCTGGGGGAGGAGAGCTGATGTTTGGCGTGGTTGTGTCTGGGGAGTGGTTTTGGGGGACCTGGAGGGAACCTGCCACTGTAGGTGGGGTGCCAGAAGTGCAGGCTCGCACCGGCTGGGTAGCTCGGCTGGGCTGCGGGAGCTGCCGGCTGCCGGTTTCTGGCCACCCCGAGCCTGTGTGGAAGGCCTGGGTGGGGAGGGCGCTTGCATGCTGCGGAGAGGGATGTGACTGGGGCCTGAGAGACTGCAGGGATGGGAGTGGGCTGTTGGGGGGAGTAGCTGTGGCCTTGAGGTTGAATGTGCCGTTCGGTGGTGGCGGCGGATGGGCGGAGGGATGTCAGAGCCGGTTCTTGTGTCTGGTACCTTCCCCTCAGCCCTTCTAGGGGCACTGGTGACAAAGGGCTTACTCTGCTAAGCCCAGAGACCTCGAGGCTGACCCCAGGGTAGTCCTGCCCACCCCTCCACTCCCCATCACCAGGACAGCCCCGCCCGCCCGCCCCCCACCACCGTACCGCATGCCAAGCAAGGAGCAGGCGCCCCTCGCCCCCCCATCCCAAGGCAGCCGCCGCAGAGAGCCGCGGTGTGCCCCCGCGCGTGTGACCTTGGGCTTCTTTACCACCCCAGATACGACGACTACCACCACGAGCGCTGGCACAGGGTCCATCCCGCCATGGCAACAGCAGCAGGCGGCTGCCGCAGCTTCTCCAGGAGCCCCTCAGATGCAAGGCAACCCCACTATGGTGCCCCTGCCCCCCGGGGTCCAGCCGCCTCTGCCGCCCGGGGCCCCTCCCCCTCCGCCGCCTCCGCCGCCTGGTTCCGCCGGCATGATGTATGCCCCGCCCCCTCCTCCTCCGCCTCCCATGGACCCTTCTAACTTTGTCACCATGATGGGCATGGGGGTGGCGGGCATGCCGCCCTTCGGGATGCCTCCAGCTCCCCCACCGCCTCCACCACAGAACTAGACTCGGTTTTTTTAAGAAAATATATATTATATATAGAGAGAATTGGTCTCGTTTAAACACACGCCGAACCTCACCATATGGAGCCAGACATTGGGATGCACGCATGTGATTTGTGTGCACGCATGTGTGTGTGTGCACGCACCGGGCTGGGCCAAGCGACTGAGGACTCGCTTGGGAACGGGCAGGTGGTAGTAGGGGCGCCAGCTTGGGCTCTCCTGGCGCCCCGTAGCATCGAGTGTCTTCTTTGTCTTCTTTCTCTCCTCACCCAACTCCCTTTGCCTCTCCCCAAACCGGGCCGCCAGGATCCCTCCCCGCAGCGGCGATGGCCCGAGCCATGAGAGTGAGGACTTTCCGCGCCCATTGGTGACCCTTCCAGGCAGACAGCCTCAGCAGCGCCCCTGGTGGACAGGATGGTTCGGCAAAGCAGCCTGAGTTATTTTTGTGGATGGAATCGGAACACGCTGGCTCCATATCGTGAAATTTTTATTAATTTTTTTCTTTTTCCTTTGTTGTTTCCTTATCTCTTCCTTTCTTCAGACTCCGTCCAAGGAGATGCTCTTCCCCGATCTTCTGCTGCAATTAGATTCCTTTCCTTTTTCTCCATTCCTTGTTCTTCTCTTCCCAAGGAGAGGAGGGAGCAAATGGTTTTAGGCGCAAGCTTTGGCCATTAATGTCAGTCTGTTTGGGGGGGGGGGGAGAAGGTCCTTTGGTTCTAAGATTTTTAAGGTTGCCACGACCACCCCAGAGTTGTTGGTTTTGTTTTTGTTTTTTGTTTTTTTGTAGTGTAACATTTTGTCTTTGCCACCTTTATAGGGTAGTGGGTTAATTTCCAGGTCCGGGGCCGAAACCCATCCTGGCACCCCTGCCGGTGATCGCTGGGGCCGCCTCAGGCTTGTCCACCATCCCAGAGAGTCCTCTCTCTGCTCCCTGAGCGCCTGAGCTGCCTCAGATTCCATTTGTTCTTCTCCTTCCTGGAAGGTTTCCTTTCAAATTTTATTTTAATCCCAAACGTCTAAATGTTTTGCAGTGTCTAGGGGTTTGAGCCCCTTGTTTTTCGTTCTGCTTTTTTCTTCCCTTCCCTCTTCGTGGAGTGATTATGTTGACAAGAATGTATAACGCGCGTTCTTCTCACTGGTTTATCTGCAGAAATTTCTCTGGGCTTTTTTTTCGGTGTATGATTCAACACTGCGTTAAAGGGGGATGTTCCATTGAATAAAAGAGCAGTGTGGTTTTCTGGGTCTGTTTCTTTATTTTCTTGTCTCATCAAACCTGTACCACAGCAGCAGCTCCAGAGTTCCCTCACCTGCCTGCATTCAGCACCTGGCCCCAGCCATCCCGTTCTCTCTGGGGAACCCCTGGGACGTTCATTAAGGAGCCTCCCGCCTCCGTCCCTGTGTGTGGCTTTGCTCAGTGGCAGCCGAGTGTGTGGGTGGTTCCACCATCTCCACCTTGTTTACTAGTTCACAGCTGAGAACTGGGTTCTTCACAACCACCCACCCCCCATCACTACTCTATCCCCTGGTCCCTGTTGTTCTGAAGGCCTTTTCCTGGGGCTTAGACCCCCCACATCTGCTGAGCTCTGGTTGTGATCTCTGTCTGGAAGCTGCCATGTGACTAAGGTCCTGAGCCTAGGGCGGCATCAGCACTAAAGGTCAGGCCAACTGATCCTGCCTGCCAGGCACAGAGCAGCTAAAATTAAAACCGCCAAGTGGCTTTTTCTTTTTCTGCTGGTGACTTGCAGCCTACCAACCCTGCGGGCTTTGGGGATGGGTGGTGGCAAAGCTACCATCCCCGCAGGCTTTGGGGATGGGTGGGGGCAGAGAAGAAAGTGCCCCGACTTGTGCTTTGTAAGTGCTGCCTTGCGGAGGGTCTCAGGCTGTTGGGTTCTTTCACGTCTGGGGCAGTACCGGTTCTGGCACCCGAAAAATCTACGTCAGGGTTCCAGGAGGCATGAGGTACTGACCCAGCGGTTGCTGTGCTGCTCCTTCCCTGGGGAGAGCCACGCTGAGCCTGCCCTTCCCCTGGGGAAGGTTTCCTTCCTTTGGGGAGATTAAGGGACAGCAAACTCCTGCCGCCCCCAGCACCTGGCCAGTGGGGCCAACTCTGGCCTGGGCTGCTTTCCATCTTCAGGTGGGGTCTGACCCGCTGCTGTGTCTGGAGCAGAAGCCAGTTGTGTGGGCGGGGTCCCAGATGTCTGTCCCGGCTCAGTGGGTTTCCTGAACCAAGCCCGAAACTTCAGTTGACGAAAAGAAGAGAATGATCTTTTCTCTTTGTCCTTAACTGATGGGATGGGGGCAGGGCCTGGGGCCTAGCAACCCTCTTTGACCTTGGCTTCACCTCATTGCTTCCTCCACAAGCTCGGTTTCCCTGGTGGGCTCATTGGGCGGTTAATTAGCTCTTTGAAGCTCTGGAAGAGGCAAAGTGGCGCTGTGTGGGTTTTAGAAATAAAATCAATAAATGACTTAACCACAACCCAGCTATCTCCTCTGTCTCTCTCCCCTGGGGCCAGCTCCATTCCTGTGCTAGCTCCCTCCCTGCTCCCTGCAGTCAGCTTTTGTTAAGGTTTTGGAGAGTAACAAAGTGGCTAACTAAGGCTCCTGTCTCAGGCCTTTCTCCAAGCAGCTCCAGGCCCTGGGTTGGAAGAGAGACAGCAGGAAGGCTTCGTCCTCAAGTGCCTGGAGCACCTGCCTTTGTGGCGGAGTCGGGGGGAGAGGAGAAACACTTTCCCACCCGCCTTGAGACGCTTGGGGTGGAGGAAGAAAAACCTTTGCTCAACCATGACTGTTCTGTGCTCCGCAGCACTGGCTCCCTGCCCCCAAGCTTGCTTGGTGAAAGGAATACCAGTTGGGAAAGGTCAGCATTAGGGCTCCGGAGAAACCCAAGATTGATCCGGAGAAGGAGGCAGGATTTCTGGTCAGAAACCTAGTCAGACATAAACAACCTTGTTATTCAAGTTGGTCAAGTGCTTCCAGGGTTCAAGATTGATCGGCCCATGCGTAGGCTGGGGAGTGAGGGATTGGAGAGGACGTGGGGACACAAGAAGTGGGTCAGTTTGAGCCTTCAAGGTCTCATTGCTAGGCTGGGGCTTGCAAAATAAAAGGAGGGGCCCCAGGGTGTTGTCACCCCTGGAAAAAGCCTGGAAACTGCTTGAGTGGGGGGCACGGACAACAAAGATGGAAGGGACCCACAAGGAAGGTAGTTGGAGAAATCAAAAGTAATTTCTGAGCGCCTGGCTAGCTCAGTTGGTAGAGCGTGAGACTCTTGATCTCAGGGTGGTGAGTTCAAGCCTCAAGTTGGGCATGGAGCCTACTTTAAAAAAGGAATTTCTGTTTCCTAGTAGAAACAGGCCAAGTCCCAGCTGAGCAGGTCCCTTGAGCACCAAGGAAGGGCGAGCACAGAGCTGAGGCACAGGAAGGGGGCATCACAGCCAGCCAGCTGGAAGAAAATTGGATTCATTTGGGGAGTAGGATGAGAATTTGGGAATGGTTTTGGAGCAGGTCTTTACTGGCAGGAAAGTAAACTGGTCGGCAACTAAGGGTCTGTGCAGAGAAGGGCTGTGGGGCCAGGGCACTGCCGCAGCGAGGGTGTGGGGCGACAGCACAGGGAACAGGCCCCGTGGAGCACTGTGCACTAAGGAGACTCAGCCTGGCTCAGAGCAGGTCCAGGCCCAGCAGCCCCAGATGCTAGCCATGTCCAGAGACCAGCTTCTTGGAGGGTGGGTGACCCTGCAGAGGCACAGCCCTGGCAGGGAGCCCTGAGGACGGGAGCTCGGGAGAGACGAGGGAGCCACCAGACACTACTGAAATAGAACATACAAAAGACCAAAAGGAGAAACTGGAAAATACTGAGAAATTTCAAGTTTTCTATATTTCCACTACATCTGTGTAGGCACACTTGGGTGTTTTCCTGATCTTTTTTCTCACTTTGAAGCATGGTAGCTATGGGAGATGAACACAGTAATGTCGTCTGGGGGCAGGGGAGAGCAGTGCCCCCCCACTAAGATTGTCCCTCCAGGCCTGGGTCTGCTGTGGCTCAGAATGTCCTCCAAGACAGCTCGGCCTTCCCCAAAACCAGGCTCTCAGTAGCACCCTACAGCTGTCCAGGCCTCTGACCTGCTTCCTTGGTCCTCAGACCAGAACACCCAGTCCCTCTCCACCAGCCCACCGCCCAGGGAGGCCCAGGCATCCTCTGAAGTAGCGCAAAGCCCTGGGCCCCTTTTGCTTAAAGAACAAAGCAGGAACCAGTCGCCTCCACAAGAGTAGGAGGCAGCCGCTGGAGGAGGCAGGAATTTTTATTCTCATTTGAGAGTATAAATTGGATGAAGGTATTCCCGGCCCAGAAAAGTAAAGCAACCTGCTTGAGGTCACACAGCAAATCAGTGCCGGGGCTGAGGCATGAGCAGTGGACTGGGGACAGTCCCATACCTGCCCGGCCATGAAGATGAGTGGGTGGTGGTGTCAAGTCCCAGGTGCAGAGGCTCCCATTTTACAGGTTAGGTCACAGCTGTGAATCCTAACCCATAGGTGGCCCTGAGTGGGAGGGAGGTCTCCAGTGACCTGGCAGCTGTGTCACAGGGAGACCTCCTACCACTGGCCGTTATCAGGAGTCGGTGGGGGATGCTTGTGTGTGCTGCCACCTCGGGCCCAGGACTACAGTTCCCAGAAGCCCCTGCTCTAGCCCGGCAGCCCCTAGCCAAAACTGGCCTGTAATCTGACTACCAACCCTCTCAAAAGGTCACTACAGAGCTCCTTGAAGGACAGCAACAGGGGCAACTCCGGGAGGCTCGACTTCAGTGGGGGTGGGGGAGCAGGAGCCCTGTCCCAGGCGACCTCCTCCATACCACCCCCCGGAACCCAGTGTCCTGGTCCCCCTTCTCTCAGGCGCCCAGTGTCATTTGCTGGCTGTTACTCTTCTGTTCAGATGACCCTCAGCTCCTGGCCCTTAAGCCTGCATGGGGGTGTCGTGGTCCCCAGTGCCACCGCATAGGACCTCCCCTCCCCTGGGGTGCAGGCCTCCCCCCTTCCCTGGGGAGGGCCACCATGGAAGCTTGGCCAGAGGTCTTCTGGATTGGAACTGGCAGTCTTTGGGAAAATGTCTAAAACAGCAGCCAGGCTGCTCTGAGGATGGCTTAGCCTCCTGCCGCCTGTCCCCCCCGACAGCCCTCCTTGGCTTCTCTGGGAGCGCCGAACGAGGCCGCAACCTGGCCTCACTCTTCCTCCACAACCCAAGGAAAGGACCTGATCGAGGCAACCTCTTGGCCAAAGGCACGGCCCCCAAGCTCCAGGGAAGCCTCAGGCCTCTCAGGGGTGACTGAGGCAGCCGCACCCTGTCTCTGACCCCGCAAGAGGCAGAGGCGAGCACAGCGGACCCCAGTGTGCGAGGCCTGCAGGAAGTGGGTCAGCACAGGGCTGTGAATGAGCAGGGCTGGGCCGCTCTCCTGGCCCCTTTCCCTTCTCCCCCGCCTTGCCCCCAAAATAGCTCCCCGAGCAGCCAGGCCAAGACCCTCCCATCGCAGGGGGAGGCGGGGCGGGCCTCCAGGAGCCAGGCTTATAAAACCCCAGGCGGCAGGGGGATCTCCACCCCCTGGCTGGAGGCACTGCAGAGGCCGCTTGTCCACCCGCCGCCAGTCAGTCCGGCCCACCCTCCCGCAGCCATGTCCCGGCCCCTGTCCGACCAGGACAAGAGGAAGCAAATCAGCGTGCGCGGCCTGGCCGGCGTGGAGAATGTCACCGAGCTCAAGAAGAACTTCAACCGGCACCTGCATTTCACACTCGTGAAGGACCGCAATGTGGCCACCCCCAGAGACTACTACTTCGCGCTGGCCCACACTGTGCGCGACCACCTCGTGGGCCGCTGGATCCGCACGCAGCAGCACTACTACGAG